TTCTTTGGGTCCAAGGTCAATATGTGCTTTATCATATTCTTCAACATCACGCAAAGAGAGGAACTCTCGGACGGCTTCACTATAAAATCACAGCTTATTGATCATTGATGATAACAAGTGCGTGCTAGCATTGTCAGCTGTTATTTGTAAATTATATGGCTGCACAGCAAATAGACTTTTTTTATTGATTTAAAAAAAAAACCTACTCCTCATGGTAATATGTAAGTAATTCCTGCACAAAAGCAACAATCCATTTTCTTCGTTTTTCGTTTAGTTTCGCTTCGGCTTGAAAGAATCGCTTCTTTGGAGCGCGCTTTATTGTGAAGTTCAACTTGTCTTTAAACTGGAAAATTCGGATTTAAGAGAAGAATTGTTCTACAATCCCATATATAAATATGGTAAAACGAGAAGGAATACTAGGAAATCATGCAAGGTATAAGAATAGATGAAAATTCATTTACTTTCAGGTAGAAGTGCACATAGTCCTCAAAACGCTTACGGATAAAACGAGAAGAGTTAATCTTCAGTGCGAAAACCTGAAGTTCTAACAGTTAGTGCTTTTTGTTAAAAATCTGAAAATAATTGCTAATTGAAGGAAAAATTGGTAGTAACTAGAAGTATTCTAGAATTCGAGAAAGGGTAGATTTTTCAGATGCCTCAGATGCCAAACGGTATCAACAAGGGTGCTTTGCAATGATGATAAGGGCTCGTTCGAGTTTTAATGTTGACTACTGATTCCCCTGTATATAGCATCTATACAATAAATATTTGAAAGTTTTTTAATCAAGGAATTTGGAATTAACTTACCGTAGTTTTCTCATTATTAACGATCACCTCGCAGACAACAACCGGTGCTTTGCGCATGACTTTCAATCCAGTTCTTCTAGAACACTTTGAAATCTCATATATATGCATAAAACGGACAGTAAAGCGAAGGTGCGTGGTTACAAAAATGACGAACAGAGTGAGTAACGTAAAACGCAGAGCAAACCAAACTGATACCAATATTTGTACGTCAGTGTTGGAATGATGCTTCTCTAACATAAAATCTACGTCAAATATTATAGACTCCGCCCATATTCGCACGATCGACCTTTAACAGTTGGTGCGTAAGATGGATAGTAATGTTGCAGGAACTGGCATCTGTGTGATGAAGATGAAATGAGTTTGAAAAAAGCTGAAGCAGAGTGGTGCTGTGATGTTTGCCGAATTTTAAATGTAATCGATAAGGTCTCCAGAATGTTTAAGCAGGCGTGCTCATATGTCTAAATGTCTAATGTTAAACAATACTCTATTAATGGAAGATAGCCCAGAAATTTCTTGAAAAATTCTTTGAACATTGAAATTCTGCTTGTATTTAAAGCAATTTTCGATTCATACTGGATATATGTATTACTTCCAAAGAAAGACTTACAGTTACACAATAGAATGAGGAACTGATGAATAGTCAACTGGGTCCCACTAGTTCAACCAAAGCGATGTAAAGGGTTTCTGGTAGGATGAGCCCTTTAAGCACTATTGTACTATGCGCTCAAGCGTTTGTAGAACACATGTGTGACGTACCAATCCCAAGGTCTCTGCGATTTGTTGCACTAATTGTTGGAAAAGTGTTAGCGAAGCAAGCAGAAGTCAAGATAGAGATCTTTCATTGTTGTCTGGAAGGCACAACATGCAACTACTCATTTTTCTAATGAAAACAATTCAGTTTCCAGATTATCGAATTTTTTGAACGACTATTCCTTATTCATTAAAAATTATACCCTAGCTTTCTTTGACATAAAGACCGAAAACCTATCTGAATGCGGCCTTTTTTCCAGAAAATTAATTATTTCTCACTAAAATAAAGTACATCCACGAATACTTTTGCTAAGATACGATTTCCGCTGAATAACAAGCTTTTTTACACTTTAATTGTG